CAATAACACAACAGACACTTACAAGGTTAAAAAGACTGGAAGAGACATCTAGAGGTACACATACTGCCCACATTATCCTTGAGACTGAAGGGCATGGTCGCTAAAAATTTCCTCCAACACTCGATCCTTTTCATTTTTTCCTAGGATCTCACAGAGTGCCTGTCCCTGCCAGTTTTTACAAGATATCCTACATATTAGTTATGCTTTTTGTTCAATATAAACATAAAACTTGTGTTTCTATATTAGTTTGTCACATTGTAGTTCCATTTTTTTAAATTTTGAGGTGTGACATTCCTAGGTTTTCTGTCTCATCACAAACAGTTTACCCTAATACTTATGATATCATGTCAAAGCAAGCTACAGAAAACTATTACTCTTTAATACCCTAAGCATTTCAAAATGGTACACAGTATAATTAGTGGAGAGCATTTTATACTTAATTTTGAACAAATATAACCTTTCTTATACACAAATATAAGCAGATTATATAATCATATCTTGTATGGAAATTATATCATCATTATCTTATTCCTTATAATTAAGTTGGATACTTCAAAATACAAGGAAATCAAAAAAAGCTGAAAATTATACCATACTAGATGCAAAATATGAACATAATTTGCCATAATACAAAATCTATTGCCATGCTTGGTAAGAAAAAAATCTTAGTATTTCCTATCAATAGGATCTTACCACTTTACTGCTTCTAAGTTGATTATCATTATCATTATTATCATCATCAATGAGATAAGTCAATTCATTTGATATTAGTACACATACTGTTCATCACTTTTCTTCTCCTTCAGTTAGCTAGGAAGTGACGTTGTCTGCTTTTTGCTTCCTGTACATGTACATGCCACTGGCTCAAGAAATTTGTTCTGGAGAGGTTTTCTTTCCAAGGAGAAAAATATTTTATCTTCAGCTCAGAAGACTACTAACACTGTTCTTCAGTATCAAAATGGTAGAGCATCCAAATTGAATACATGTTATGTTTACTGCTAGCATCATGCTTAAATAGGTATGCAATCATTACCATACTATGAGCTGCCTAGTGATGACATTAATTTTAGCACACTACTGGAAAGAGAGATAATTCAAAAGGTTTTCATGATTTTTGAGCAGGCAGTTAAACAGTGTGAGCATATGATGAAAGATGTAGAAGATATGAGTTCCTTTCACACTTCTGATTCTGTTCCTCCATGTAGTAATGACTGGGATAACTACACTTAAACAGAAAGCAGCTTCCCAGTGCACCATTATTCCTCTTCTGTAACCATCTGTCGAAGTCTGAGGAGTTTTGCCAATTTTGACCAGTATAGCAAAAATACAAGTGACTAATATAAAAAGCTCCACTCTCTTTACAATCACAAGTACTTCTTATGCAGCAATTCCTATGCATATCAACTGGGTATTGGAACAAGAATTCATACAGACTGTCATTTTATTACAAGTAAATAACTAACTATTGGTTTCCATACATACATATGACTTTTTTTTTAATGCTTAATTTCCAGTCATATCAAAAGGGAAATCCCTAAACTAAACAAAGTTCCAAATAACTATCTACAAAAACAGCATGAAACCTTAGCTGAAAAGCAAAAATAATATGCTAATAACACCATTAACTGGAAACAAAGTCCAAAGATACTTAGATGAACTTAATGTAAAATTACACATGAAAAATCATAAAGCACTGAACAAAATACTGTAATGGACACAGATTAAAAGTTTAAGGCTGTATAATTGTGTACCATATCTTCTGAAATGCTTTATAATTATATGTATATGTATATGTATATGTATTTGTATATATATATACGCATATGTATATGTATATGTATATGTATTTGTATATATATATATATATAGGCATAAGTATATGTATACGTATATGTATATGTATATGTTAGTATATATGTATATGTATATGTATATGTATATGTATATGTATATGTATATGTATATGTATATGTATATGTATATGTATATGTATATGTATATGTATATGTATATGTATATGTATATGTATATGTATATGTATATGTATATGTATATGTATATGTATATGTATATGTATATGTATATGTATATGTATATGTATATGTATATGTATATGTATATGTATATGTATATGTATATGTATATGTATATGTATATGTATATGTATATGTATATGTATATGTATATGTATATGTATATGTATATGTATATGTATATGTATATGTATATGTATATGTATATGTATATGTATATGTATATGTATATGTATATGTATATGTATATGTATATGTATATGTATATGTATATGTATATGTATATGTATATGTATATGTATATGTATATGTATATGTATATGTATATGTATATGTATATGTATATGTATATGTATATGTATATGTATATGTATATGTATTTGTATATATATATGTATATGTATATGTATATGTATATGTATATGTATATGTATATGTATATGTATATGTATATGTATATGTATATGTATATGTATATGTATATGTATATGTATATGTATATGTATATGTATATGTATATGTATATGTATATGTATATGTATATGTATATGTATATGTATATGTATATGTATATGTATATGTATATGTATATGTATATGTATATGTATATGTATATGTATATGTATATGTATATGTATATGTATATGTATATGTATATGTATATGTATATGTATATGTATATGTATATGTATATGTATATGTATATGTATATGTATATGTATATGTATATGTATATGTATATGTATATGTATATGTATATGTATATGTATATGTATATGTATATGTATATGTATATGTATATGTATATGTATATGTATATGTATATGTATATGTATATGTATATGTATATGTATATGTATATGTATATGTATATGTATATGTATATGTATATGTATATGTATATGTATATGTATATGTATATGTATATGTATATGTATATGTATATGTATATGTATATGTATATGTATATGTATATGTATATGTATATGTATATGTATATGTATATGTATATGTATATGTATATGTATATGTATATGTATATGTATATGTATATGTATATGTATATGTATATGTATATGTATATGTATATGTATATGTATATGTATATGTATATGTATATGTATATGTATATGTATATGTATATGTATATGTATATGTATATGTATATGTATATGTATATGTATATGTATATGTATATGTATATGTATATGTATATGTATATGTATATGTATATGTATATGTATATGTATATGTATATGTATATGTATATGTATATGTATATGTATATGTATATGTATATGTATATGTATATGTATATGTATATGTATATGTATATGTATATGTATATGTATATGTATATGTATATGTATATGTATATGTATATGTATATGTATATGTATATGTATATGTATATGTATATGTATATGTATATGTATATGTATATGTATATGTATATGTATATGTATATGTATATGTATATGTATATGTATATGTATATGTATATGTATATGTATATGTATATGTATATGTATATGTATATGTATATGTATATGTATATGTATATGTATATGTATATGTATATGTATATGTATATGTATATGTATATGTATATGTATATGTATATGTATATGTATATGTATATGTATATGTATATGTATATGTATATGTATATGTATATGTATATGTATATGTATATGTATATGTATATGTATATGTATATGTATATGTATATGTATATGTATATGTATATGTATATGTATATGTATATGTATATGTATATGTATATGTATATGTATATGTATATGTATATGTATATGTATATGTATATGTATATGTATATGTATATGTATATGTATATGTATATGTATATGTATATGTATATGTATATGTATATGTATATGTATATGTATATGTATATGTATATGTATATGTATATGTATATGTATATGTATATGTATATGTATATGTATATGTATATGTATATGTATATGTATATGTATATGTATATGTATATGTATATGTATATGTATATGTATATGTATATGTATATGTATATGTATATGTATATGTATATGTATATGTATATGTATATGTATATGTATATGTATATGTATATGTATATGTATATGTATATGTATATGTATATGTATATGTATATGTATATGTATATGTATATGTATATGTATATGTATATGTATATGTATATGTATATGTATATGTATATGTATATGTATATGTATATGTATATGTATATGTATATGTATATGTATATGTATATGTATATGTATATGTATATGTATTTGTATATATATATACGCATATGTGTGTGAGCACTGTGTGTGAGTGCTGTGTGTGGGAATGTGGGAGTGAGTGAGTGAGTGAGTGAGTGAGTGAGTGAGTGAGTGAGTGAGTGAGTGAGTGAGTGAGTGAGTGAGTGAGTGAGTGAGTGAGTGAGTTGAGTGAGTGAGTGAGTGAGTGAGTGAGTGAGTGAGTGAGTGAGTGAGTGAGTGAGTGAGTGAGTGAGTGAGTGAGTGAGTGAGTGTGTGAGTGTGTGTATGTGTGAGTGTGTGTATGTGTGAGTATGTGAGTGTGAGTGTGTGAGTGTGTGAGTGTGGGTATCTGGGTGTGTGTGTGAGTGTGTGTGTGTTGTCTGAGTAAAACTTTAAATATAAGAGTACTAATGTAATGTCAGTAAAAACAAATCTTTGAATTAACATTATATAAAGTTATGAACTATATGAAAAAATAAGTCTCAAACAGACAAAAATTATCAAACCTTTCAAATGGGCCTACTCTAATAAACTTAGATATAGATATATAATATTCTACTATATGATTAAATCATATTACAACTAAATAACAGAGCACACATAATCAACATCGGTAAATAGTTGTGTCAAAAGAGTTCAAGTAAAACTTCTGTCATTTTAAAGACCAACTTACTGAATTACACTGACCTCCATGACATTATTCTTTGCTCTCCTCGGGTTCTGCAGCATCTTCTACTTTCTCCTCCGTTTTAGGTTCCTCCTCCTCGGTATCACCATCTCTACTATTGTCGCCGGTATCCTTGTTGGCGTCAGTATCTTTATCACTGTCATTGGTGTTGGTCTCAGTGTCCTTGGTGTTGAAGCCGGTATCTTTCGTCAGCGCTGCCTCTGCTGGTCTCTCGCTGTCTGAGTCTGAGTTAGAGTGATGCTCGTGGTGGTGGACAATGAGCGGTGCATCCCCTGTTGATGCAAATGTTTTGAGTTGATGTCTCAGTTCAGATTGCAAAGCTTTACAATTCAAATCCGACATGACTGCAAGATATTAGTATCTTAGTTTCTTTCACAAAGTTTGTTAATTACATAAATTACATTATGTAAATTACATTAAAACTGACCATCAAATTAAATAGGAGTCTTTCAGTAATTTTTCATTTTACCTAGGATCTTCTCAAAAAGTGATTTACTTCATCTAAAGCCATATCGGAATTTAGTCCTCATGCTTATACATGCCTCCCTGGTTGCAATAACAAAAGCACAAAGCAGTTTTGTGGAATTCCACATAAAAAATCTACCTTTAAAGGAAAAATATTGAGACTTAAAACTCTCTCTCATAACAATGTTATATTGATAAAAATATGATTTCTATACATCATATAAAAGTACTACAAGTATCATACAAAGTTTGGTTTCCTATGCAGTAACCCAGATACTTGGGCAACTGGGCAAAAGTATTTTATATAAAACTTACCACAAGGTGATATGAAAAAAATAAAAGCAATTACCTAAGCTATCATGCAGATGATGACTCATGCTGTGGCCGTGAGCAGCTGCTCTTTATCTTAACAGGAAGAAAAACTGGTGAAAACATGCCATTAATGTGATGAAAGGATAAAACACCCATCATGATAAGAATATCAAAGGTTAATCTCAACCATCTTGTGTTTATATCCTGAACTGATAACCTGGAACTAAAAAATAGCTGTTGGACTGTTTTTGTTATCATTGATATTCTTCACTGATGATGGCAGTCAAAGTATAAATTCACTAGCCACAAGTTTGTAATAATATTCATGCACAATAAAGCACAGATTATACTTGCCGGTTCTAAATCTGAGTAAAGAAATTAGTAAGGAAAATTACATGAAACTAACTCAAATTTCACACTGACAATAATATGTCTATATGTTTGTTGAAAGTTTATGAGCATTTCAGTGCTAACACACCGAAGGCTCCACAAGAGTTTAGCCACCAAGGAGTCAATTATTAGTACTACCTGATCTCACCTGTTTACCCGTTTTCTTGAGTTTCAGAATGTTTATTTTTTTATTTTTTACTGCTATTAGTATTGATAATAACTTTCTAATCAGCCCAATGTTAACAATGAAAACAATAACTAATGATGTTAAACCACTGGATGTGAGTGACAAGACCATGACATCATTAACCCATTACCGCCGGGGAAAATGAACAAAAAATGGGGGAAATGCTGTACTCATTTCTTATATTTTTGTGAAATATCTCTGTCCATAGATGGCTCTGCTAGTCCTGATTTCACCTTTCCTTGAATTGGTGGGAAAAAACGTATTCTTAATAGTGCTATAAATATAGGTGTTATTTTTACAGCAAATTAGGATAACGTAAAATATTTTCGGAAATCGATGAAAAGGGTGAACGGGCGAGACATGCAGTTCTCGTAATTGGCTCATTGGATACTTAGTACAAGTGTAGCCATCTATGTGTAAAAACAATCGAACAAGTCGACTCAAAGTGGGCATGGCATGTACGTACATGCCATCCCCGGCGGCAATGGGTTAAAAAATGTGGCTAAAGTACAGGTGACGTTAATGTGCCAACATGGAAAAATTTGGTCGAAGGCTGGGATGATGTGAATATGGTAATCATGAAAAATTTGACTGAAGGTTGCAGTGATGGGAATGACTCACCACTTCTGCACAAAGCTCATGGATGAAGATTAGACTCCGAGGCCATTTAGGAAGGGCCTCCGGTACTGTTTCCACCATTAAATAAGTGAGAAATGTACTATCTGTAAGCCATGGCTGGAAGAGTGCTGGCTCTATTTCCAGCAATGCAAGGTGTATATCAGAAAACTGAATAATATAAAAATATATCTTAAAGAGAAGACACAAATAATGAAATGTTACTCATTGCTATTATTATTGTTATAGTCTATCTAGAGAGAGGATATGGAGTCTGTGTAAAGAAAACCAGCTATTACCATTTTGATACAGCATTTCTAAATTACAAATATAAACCTTGAAAAATGGGGAAAAAAAAATGTTTGCACGGAAAGAGAGGCTAAAACACTGCAAAGGGGAGGTATGGAGCCTTGACACTGTACACAAGTGTTTGTGTTAGCTAGGCCCATAAGGATTACCTGGAAGAGTTGCCACTCAGGTAGGCTTAATACCCAGATTTTGGGTCAAGTGAGATAACAAGGCATCCAACTGGTTAATAGCATAAGAAAAAAATAAACTCTCCCAAAAATTCAAGGAAAGGGGAACATCAGGGAAGGTTTTGAAGGCCTATTGATTGATTTCTTGCTGAGAAAGCAATGCTAAAATGTCCATCTGGGTCAGAAAAATCTTAAATACGGCTGGTAAATGAATGAAAAAATATCCCAGTCACCTTACCTCATTAAAAATTACACAGGTGCACAACAACCTTAGTATTGCAGGTATGGCATGAGTACGACTTCCCTGCAATCTGTGACTGGATCCTGAAGAACTTATACCTCCATTATATTTTTTTTGTCAATACTTTTGTATTGTAATGAATGTAAAAGAGAAATAAAAGCAATTCTTACTTATCAGACTTGGTTGAATGGATAGTTTATACATAAATTAAAAAGAATTCTGTGAATGATATATATATAAACCAGTGACAAGTGTAAAATATACAGAGTCACAGGCATGATATACGCAAATATTAATCCCTAATCTAGTCTTAACCGTCGAGGATACACCTGGGGATGGTTTATCTTCTCCCAGCCACCACAGGGTTACTTCAAAACAAATCCTAAATCTGTATGTAAAAAGATGGTAAATAATAATCGTAATCCATATTTCCTACTAAGGCTTTCACTTTCTTTTCACTTTGAAGGATGCAAATGTCTCTTCTTAATAGCTAATGAATCAACCCCCAAAGTACAAAAATGCTTAAAATACAGAATATATCCCATAATGGTATACTATGAAGGACTTTATGCAAATTGCTTAATCATGGAGGAAAGCATTCAGCCAGGAAATGCTGAAAAATTAGACGTAAAAAAGGAATCTATTTTCAGTTCCCATTATACTGTCAGTTTGTGTATCATATTAATTAAGATAGACAAGCACTCAGTACAAAATATATATATAATATGTGTTGTGGCAAAATGTAATTACATCATTACATCAATATTTAGTATCTAATAACAACAATGCATAAACTGTATAATGCTTGTAATTAAAAAGACACACTAATCTAATCAAAATGGTCAGAAAAACTGAAAAAACAAATCCAATTACTGTATTTATATACAGCAACCTAAGAAGAAAACATGTAAAGGATTGTCCCAGTGTTTCTGTGGCTGTATCTCCATTATCTGTTTAACTTTAAGTGACAAACATTTTTTCCTAAAATTAAACAACTATTTTATCATAACCTTCACTATATGATGCACAGCTTTCTGATCCATGTTCTGCTACAAAAAATCAAATCCATTTCTATTTTAAAAACTCCACACATATACTTTGGGGGTTAAATTATATTCAACGATATTTGTACTTATATTAATAGATTTTCATTCTGTTAGAGCATTCGTCTGTGTTAAAGAATTCTACTATTTTTTTCAGAGAGACCCAAAACTGGTCTCTTTTTACATGCTGCACTTACATACTGCCAAAGAAAGGAATGCTATTCCCTTAACTTGTTCTTCTGAAGTCAGTTATGTGCCTGGTACCCTGTTCAGATAAAAATCAATGAAATAAAAGAAAATAAAAGAAAAAAATTATTAAGCTGACATCAATATATACATGTGGACAAAAACAAAATTACAACTTCTACATTCCAACAATAATCTATGATCATTCCTTTATATTTCATAAAAACAACACGTCCTAGATGTTTAGCAACTTGACACTTATGAGCACATAAATCTGATTCACTTCCATGCAAAATGACATGTAAGACTTAACAATAAATACTTGCTATGGACAAATCACATACACATAATAACTAAAACAGAGAACTGATACCTACCCATTTCAGCTCAATTCTGTCCCCATACCCAAAACTAATTTTATTCCAACAGGAAAACTTCCTGCTATGTCATTCTGAACTTACCTGCCTTGTAGCCTGAAGTTAAAGTCATAATGATACTAGCATTTCCAATGACAAAAGACAATCTACATCAACAGACAACAGAGACAATAGGGAGATACTTCCTCTTGAGTGAATGAACCGAACATAAAATACAAATCAAAAGTGCTAAAAATGTCACCACTTATGCCAAAAAATCACAGCCATTACTTCACAATGATACAAAAGAACAGACTAGCCCTCACAATCAGATATCCTCTCCTACCTCCGCGATAATGGTCTCCACTCGAACCGCTGCTCCCACTATCATGGCGAATGTGTAGGTCACTCACTCCGCTGGTTATGCCATCCATGCCCCCTCCGGTATCGCCCACAGATGCAGCTGTTATATTGAGGGATAATGCCTCAAGTTATTTTGGATTACATTATTTCAGATTATACTACATGGTGTCTCATATTACTTGTTTAAATAAATCATTCATTTTCTTGGAATCATATTAATATCAAGCTTCTCTACCTAGTTTTTGTATTTCATGGAACACATTTTCTTAATGCTTTCTTAACATTATAAGCAAATCCATAGACTTTTTATCACCAAGCTCTAAACAAGAGAGAAATTGTATAAGCTTTCCAAAAATTAATGTTCCGAATATATTAAACAATACCTGACTGGAGCCTCTTGGAGTTTATAAGATTATAGGATATATAATGAGGTGCAAATCCCACTTCATTATGATTCTGGCCTTCATCAACATCACTATCAATCTCTGCAATGCTGGTCGTTCCAAACATACACTGATTGTATGTTGGTAAGGCTATCAGAAAAAGAAAATAGAAAAAACACATTTAATTTTGAGAATAAACATTGCACATGTACATGTATGTGTACATGTACGTGTACGTGTACGTATACATGTACATGTATGTGTACGTGTACATGTACGTGTATGTGTACGTGTACATGTACGTGCATGTGTATGTATATGTGGACGTGTAAGTGTTTGTGTACATGTACATGTATGTGTACATGTACGTGTACGTGTACGTATACATGTACATGTATGTGTACATGTACGTGTACGTGTACGTATACATGTACATGTATGTGTACATGTACGTGTACGTGTACGTATACATGTACATGTATGTGTACATGTACGTGTACGTGTACGTATACATGTACATGTATGTGTACATGTACGTGTACGTGTACGTATACATGTACATGTATGTGTACATGTACGTGTACGTGTACGTATACATGTACATGTATGTGTACATGTACGTGTACGTGTACGTATACATGTACATGTATGTGTACGTGTACATGTACGTGTACGTGTACGTATACATGTACATGTATGTGTACGTGTACATGTACGTGTACGTGTACGTATACATGTACATGTATGTGTACATGTACGTGTACGTGTACGTATACATGTACATGTATGTGTACGTGTACATGTACGTGTACGTGTACGTATACATGTACATGTATGTGTACGTGTACATGTACGTGTACGTGTACGTATACATGTACATGTATGTGTACATGTACGTGTACGTGTACGTATACATGTACATGTATGTGTACATGTACGTGTACGTGTACGTATACATGTACATGTATGTGTACATGTACGTGTACGTGTACGTATACATGTACATGTATGTGTACGTGTACATGTACGTGTACGTGTACGTATACATGTACATGTATGTGTACGTGTACATGTACGTGTACGTGTACGTATACATGTACATGTATGTGTACATGTACGTGTACGTGTACGTATACATGTACATGTATGTGTACATGTACGTGTACGTGTACGTATACATGTACATGTATGTGTACATGTACGTGTACGTGTACGTATACATGTACATGTATGTGTACATGTACGTGTACGTGTACGTATACATGTACATGTACGTGTACATGTACGTGTATGTGTACGTGTACATGTACGTGCATGTGTATGTATATGTGGACGTGTAAGTGTTTGTGTACATGTACGTATACTTGTACATGTACATGTACATGCACATGTTCATGTGTGTGTACGTGAGCATATGTACATGCATGTTACTTTATCTGGACCAAGGTAAGAAGGTCCCAAATTCTCAAATCTCAGTCTAGCACAGCAGAACCATTTTTATTGCTGATTGCACATAACTTTCCAGTTTCAGATATGTTTATATGAAAATGGTAGTATTCATTTAATTTGGTATGGAATATTGTATCTGAAATACACTGGGATAGCATATCAAAAAAAGAAACACCTTCTAACCATCCAATGACATCAAAGAAGTAACAAAAATGAAAAACTTACGCATTTGAGGATAATGTAGGACTCCTGGAAATCTTGGTGATCCTGGTGTGGGGTAAGATGCTGGCTGGAAGTTGGGGTTGTATGGCGAAGTGTTCTGATCCACATTGGACACTGCTATGCTAGGCTGGGCTGGATTGTTGGAGGGCATCTGGACTGCTTGCTGACCTGGTATGGATGGAGCAAAGCCCAACACTGGAGACTGACCTGGCCCAGTACCATAACCAGGCACTGGAGGCTGACCTGGCATTTGTGGTTCACCTGATACTGGTGGCTGACCAGGCACAGGTGCTTGACCTATAAATGGTTGTTGACCTGGAACTGGAGGCTGACAGGGTACTCCAGGAGGATTCATCACTGGAGGCTGACATGGTACTCCAGGAGGATTCATCACTGGAGGCTGACCTGGCACTGGCTGTTGACCTGGTATAGCAGCAATGCCAAACCCTGGGTGCTGCCCTGGTGCTGGAGAATAGTTTGGTAATGGGGGCTGGCCAGGAGGGGAATAAGCAGGCACTGGAGGCTGAACTGAAGCCATATTCATGTGTTGGGCTGAGTTTATGGGTGGTCCTTGAACAAAGTTGCTAAAGTATTGCACTAGAGGTATGGAGCCAATCTTTACAGGAGCTGTGTGTTCTAGGTCCATGTGGCAACCGGATGGGGACATTTCAAACTGAAAAACATAGAAGTAAATACAGCAATAGGGAAAGGAGATAAATCACCAGTCATTAATCATTATAAAAACTGCAAAATGTGAAACACTTTTTCAGTAACACATACACCACATTCACAGAAATATATACAGTATCAAAACTGATCTGATACACTGCAAGTTTTTGTCTATTACTAGTATTTAAGAATAAAAGAAATAAAGAACATAAATAAAAAGACCTACAACTTTTCAATAAGATATCTAATCTCACAAATTCATCATGTCAAATCCAAATCTTGTCTGCTTCACCTATGCATAAAAATACCGTACCTAGGAGAAACTCTTAATTAAAACTGCAAGGAGGAATCCATCTTCATTTTACAGTTAACTCTAAATTACTGGTCTGAATTTCATTAGTTGTAGCACAAGTTATATAAACAGGTTTTGTATTGTACAAAAGGGAATAACATCACAGCTTATAAACAGGATATTAAAGGAACCAAACAATATAACATCTATACGACACCGTAGTTTATTCTGGATGGGGAGAAAGGGATATTGGGAAAAAATATTTCAACATGTAGTTAAACCACAGTATCAAATAATCAGCAAAAATCACATTGGTTTCATTTTGTTCTGTTTTCTCATAATTGATGGTTATGTTTTCAATAAAAATATATTTGTGTGAGGAAAGTTTTTTGTTTATTAGATAAAGCTCATACTTATCTTAATTCTTTATGTCATACCTTTTAAAGAAAAAAATCACCTCCATTGAAGATATTTAACTTTTGCTTCATCTATTACATGCCATTTACATAATAATATACATACACTTTCAAAAATTATCCAAATACCAATAATCATCATTCTTTATATTTAAATCAATAGGCGCAAGGTACTGCTTTATAAGAATAATGTAAGAGTCATGCAATTTTTCTATGAAAGTAATCAAATATTCCTCATACACCAATATTTTCTCTGATTTAGTTACTATGGTCCCAATTTGGTTAAGGCATGTAATCTATAACATATACCAATTTATATCCAGTAGTTCCATGCAACAGAAAATTACAATAGAAGAGTATTTTGTGGGGGCTTCATCTGGGCAAGTTGGGGAAAATTCAGGGAATAAGCTATATGATTTGTCAAAATCAGAATTTAGGGTTTTCAGGGAGAAAAATCAGGGTCCAGAGACATAATTTGGGCACGAAAAGCAAAATCCTCTTAAAACGTCACTCTTTCACAATGTATAAGGCAAGTGGTTCCTGTAACAAAATAGGATACAGTATACCAAACAACATAATTAACACAGAAAGATACCGATATAAGCAACTGCATATCTGAGGTCTGAAGAACGGCAGTCATTACTGGATGAGTCCAAGTTAAACATCCAACTGGCTCACTGGCAATGCTGGGAAACAAGTTTAGAAAAAAATCATAGGTATAAATTTATCTGAAATGACTATTTTTCTTTGAATTTCACTGGAAAACCAAACTGCCTTAGAAATAAAATCCTTTAACTTTTAACAAACTCATTCAAGACAAACTTATAATTGTTCTTTTTTTTTTTTTCATTTCTTCCACCTTCAAAAAAAAAAAGAGAGAGAGAAAAAAAAAGACATCCCACCATGTCCTTATTTTTCCCATGTCCTAAACACACCCTACCTTGAGTTCGTAATCAATGTCAATCAGGTTGCAGAATTGCAGGTGAGAGGGAGGCAGTGCTGGAATCAACATCTCAACGTTGTTCCAGTTATCATCTTCTCCAGGTGGAATTTCCAAGCGCTTGAGTTCAGCAACCTTCCGGTGGTCTTTCTTCTTTCTCCCCTCAGCATGGTATGTTATGGTCTACAAAATTGGGGAGTTTATCAGGCATAAATGAAATTCTTGATAATCCTATGTTCAATGTGTAAGAAAGAACTCTTAAAAATTATATGACGAGTGCTATGCAGTCTATCAAAAGCTAGGATATCACAAGAATATTACCTACTCAACCTAAGAATCAAAAAAATATTGTTGTACTTTCACTCAAATCAACCACTGTTACACCAATAAAATTTTTGATCAAACAGACTTTTTTGTAGTTATCATGCATATGCTCTACTACAGCAAATTATTTATCTTACATTTATTTATACTTATTGAATAATTATAATTACAAGATTATAGGTTGCATGCATATTCAGGAATGAGATATATGAATCTAATATTATTAGAAGTTTCCAAGAATGCAGGAAATTATCAGTTTATCATTATACAGTAGAATATGCACATAGTCATATAACCAATATGTAGCTGCTCTGCCCCATTTGTTCTTCAAAAGACTTTATCATTCATAATCCTGTAGTATCTCTGACTTTAGTGTTTTTCTTCCTATGGGAATTTCATAACAATCACAGATTATTTAGTACTTTTGGAGCAGAGTTTAAATAGCTTTGTTACCATAAGCTAATATCTACAACTATTGTTGTCCCAACTGCAAGAATTCAGTTGTAAAATCTATAGCTGCAGTAAGGTAAAGTGCATCCATGTGATTATTGGTGCCCTACTCCAGTTAAAATATCCTCCAGGAACAGAGGAACAAAGGAAAAATCAAAACTAATAGATGATAAAAAAGAAAAAATAATCAAATACAGTGAAAGAGAAGTGTACAAAAACAAAGAAAAAAA